AATTCATATTTTCTCTTACTGTTTGCATATAAAAAAGAATAATACTATTTTCGGTCGTAATTATAAGACTTTTTTTATAATCCATAAACGAGGTTTTATTATTATGACTAGACGTAGTAATTATATACTTCTCTGGTTCTAAATATAAAACCATTTTTGTAGTGTAATTTACATTACAAAAAAGATCTTATATTTAAGATATGAGTAGTGTGTGACAAAATAGCACTATGTACCGTAGTGCAACAATTGCACAACAAGAGCTCTGACGCATAGACCATGAATCATACACATACACACTCGTATTTGGCACCTAAAATAAAAAATGAAATAGAAAAAATAATTTTGCATACAAAAAATGTCTCCCACACATACATATGTAGATTTAAAAAATGATTAAGACAGATAATATCAAATAATGATGATAGGAGTATAATTAAATATTATATATATTTTGAATTTTATGTGATGAAATAAAAAAGTATTCTCATTTGTGCCTGCCAAATGGAGCCATATTTATAGTGCAATATCCATTATTAGAAGTATGACTTGTGAATCTCTCCTAATCAGCTTAAAGAGTACTTATCTGGTTCTATTTATAAGGTATTTTTAACATATTTTATACAGGCTAAAGAAAACTTTAAATTGCATTAACTCTTTATTAAAATATAACAATTTTCTAATTTTACCCTCATTTAATATATACACCTTTCAAAAGAATAACTATCTACACTATAATAAATAAAAGATAAAATAGTATATTCATACTAAAAATTTAATGAAGTGACTTATAAATAGGATAAAAAAACTTTATCTCTCTACGTTATAAATAGGATAAGAGGAATATAGTGTGGTAGTGCACAGTTCGACCACCTTCTCTTGAGTTTGTGTGAATTCCTCACATAAAATCATATCTCTCCAGAATAACTTAAAAAGCCGTGGAATAAATTCTCGAATTAATCAGCTACATTTTTTTTTTTGCGGGGTCAAGAGCATGCTTATCGACACGGGAGCACATGGAAGAATTTTCACATCTCGAGAATTATGTGGTTATCAACACTCTCCATAAATCGCAATTTAATTTATTAAATTTATGGAATGAATGAATTGTTGTGATATCAAATACTAGTATACTTTAATATCTCTCCAATCCTGATTATAAGATTAAAAAAAGGGTTTTTGTTTATTTATTTACAATTATACCATTTATTTATTAATCAAGGAATCAATATATTAAAATATTAAAAAAATTAAATTTGAGGACACAATTAATAAGATTTAAAATTTTATTTTTAACACTGGCGAAATAATAAGTATATCAAAAAGGGTATGTCTGGTAGATTTTCAGTGAGTTGTCCATTTTGATTGGTTCCCTTTGCCATTTTCACAATCAAATGAGGAGACATTAATTAAGATCAACTTTTGCTAAACAAAAAATTGATCATTTCTAACCACCGCAGAAAGAAGTTGATGAGCGTGTCTAAAAGTTCTTAAAAGTTCCAAACTTTAACTTTGTGAAAAGAAGGAGGCGTTTCATGCATGCATGTGGCCTTACACTAGTGGCCAAATTAATTTATTTATTATATGAATAGACCCAGGTCAATCAATTACCAAGCCTGTAATATTAAAAGGGCAAAAACAGTGACATTCATTAAATGCAACTGATTTTATTTAATGCTAATTTATCATACCTACCTTTGATTCGATCAATATGTCTACAGTGGCAACAAGGACCCTGCCTTCTGCGGCCGTCACAAAACTTAATGAAAATACTAAACATGAGTTTTTTTTTTAATGTTTTTTACTAGGATTTTAGTTTTAGCTTAAGATCACTAATTTTGATATATGAAATTTGATCTTATTTTAATTCATTTAAAGATTTCTTATCCCTATAACAATATTTTGACCTTTGTTTAAATTTTAAAGATCAAAATTAAAATGAAATCAAATTTTAGAAATCAAAAAGAGTATAAACCCAAAATACTGACAGTGCAAGGATCCAGTTTTGCACATGGCGCAATTCAACATTATAAACTATTGCCCTCAACAATCTCTTTAAATGCTTTATATTTTATTTAAATAAAAATGATAAAAACTAACATAAAATTCGAGGAACCCACGTCAATTTTTTTTTTTAAGCCAGAGTTTGAGATATAATACTAATAATATTTATAAAATATCAAAGATTAATCCACCAACTTTGCTGCCCCTGATCCCTATCAAAACACAGGCCTATACAATTATTTGCTCTCAACTTTAGAAGCTATATAAGACATGGAGTATACCTACCAGCACATTGTTTCCCAAATTTGCTACACTATTATTCCTTTAATTATGTGACATTGTCAATATACTAATATATAACCAGATCTAGAGTGTGCATTATTATATTGTACGGCCTTTTAAATATTACTGGCACTTATAGGTGTTAGTAATGTTTTGCAATATATTTCATATTTTATATTAAAATTATTAATTTAATAATAGTTCACCCATTATATACAAATGAGAGAGTATACTTCAAATAATATTTTTTTGGTAAAAAATAATATTTTATTTAAGGACGCGGAATTAACATATTTTCTTTTCAAAAATTGGGCATGTGACGACTTTCAATGGTTATTACAAATGCATGAAAATTCGGTCTGGTTTGTTGGTTTAGAAATCTGTGTTAGCTTGCTGCTTTTGTAGAAAATGATATTTAAATTGTTGGCAAAAAAAAGAAAACGATATTTAAATATTCAAATGTGTACATGTGAAGTTTATTCGATTTCTTTTTCCATTTTTCAATTTCTTTTTTAGTTTTCCATTGATTTCCAAAACTTCCTCACGGCCCAACCAGCGTTTAGCTGTGTCACGTTAATTGCTATTTCTAATTTTAATTATAAGATTTCATTTATAAATAACAAACAACATTTTATAGTTAAAATCGGAAGTAGTATTTCTTTTTATCAAGCAGATAGGGTAATGACGTTGTCACGCACATTTGATAGTATTTCTTCTATTTCTGTTTATTTATCCTCACAAAAGAACACATAAATAAAAATTAAAATTTATATATTATATAATAATTATTTTTTAATTTTATTCTCTGTTTAATGTTAGATTGTTTGAATCTTAACTAAAAAATAAGGAATAATTACATTTTTAAAATTTAAAAAGATGACTTATACTTGGAAACAAAAATTAAAATTTAAATCAAAACGAGAGAGATAAAAACGGAGGGACGGGGGAGTATAAAATATATAATAAAATTAAAAGCGTAATGATGACGACTTGAGAGGGATAGATATGAAGGCAAGGGTGGAGAGTTCCAAGGTGATGAGATGACCCTTCCCACAATCACACGATGGTGGTTTTGGGGGATCATTAAAAACTCTAGCCTTACTTGTCCCCCTGCCTTTTCATGTATTAATATTATTATTACCATTATTAATATCCAGTCAAATTATTCGCACTCCTCATTATCTTTTCAAACTATATGAAAGCGCTTTTAAAAAGCGTTTTTTTTTATGAACCATATACCCTCTAAGTTTTTTTTTCTTTTTAAATTTGAGATTGCAAAGCTTAACTCGGTACAAAATATGATGGATGCATGGGTTTTTTTTTATTAGATAAAGGATGAAAAATATTAAAAAAAATAATTCGCTTTTTGGTTTAGAGTGGGAGCTAATTTTCAAAAGAGTGTATTTTTTCCTAAGCAAATGAAAGTTTGAATGCGTTGAATTATAAAGACTTGAAGAGATTAGGATTTGCCACATTGATGAGTGATCGCTTGATTAACAATTTTTCACTCTATAAAATAAATATATGAAAAAGATCATTTTATAAAACGTTAAAATATTTAGTTTAAAGTTACTAGTTGGAAACTACTAATTAATAAAACCCGCATACCGAGAGGAAGATTTGAACTCGCGCCTTACCAGTTAAACCGAAGTTTGTTTTCTCGGCAAACGAGTACATTTCTTGATACAAAATAATGCAATCCTGAGGAATGCCGACATACCTCCAATGCAATTCCAAAACTCTGACCCCTTGCTTGGATTGAGACAAAACTAAAGAGGAAAGAAAACTAGAGAAAAACATAGAAAGAAACAAGTTTTCTCTTGTTTGGATATGAGAGAAAATGTAGAAAAAAGAAAAAACAGAAAAGAAAATAAAGTGGGTCCTATACTTTATTTTCTCTCCATATATGGAGAGATTTGGGAATGAAAACAAGATTTCCATGATTATCCCTCTACTCTTTTGCTTTTCATATTTATTTTCTTTTATTATATTTAAAAAGTTATTCCCTTTTTATTTTTTTATCTTAAAAAAATGTTTTTATTAAATAATTTGGTTTTAAAATATAATAATCTAAAAAAATATATAAATCAAATAACTTAATTTTAAATTATTTGATAATACTAATGTTATTATAATTTTTCTATTGTAATATTTAATTTCATTTAATTTTAAATATGATATATTTTGATAAGGATATTTTAGTCATTTAGATATTTGTTAATTTTCTCTCCTTTCTATTTTCTCTCATCCATCCAAACAAAAAGGATGATAACAACTTTCTTCCGGTTTTTTCTTCTCTCCATTTTTTCTCCTCTCATTTTCTTTCTTCTAAACTTTTCTTCTCATCCAAACAGAGATTTAAAAACTTCCCTTTTCCCTTGAACCAAACCAGACACCCCCCACCCCCCGGGGTCCCCAACACACAAAAAAACAAGGGCACAAAAAAGCTTTGAACGTTGGGGTCCAGAGAAGGAATAGATTTCTTCCCTTCTTTTCTTATCCCATTCTTGAGATCTCACCTCATGATCCATTACCATCATCATTACCTTGGTACTGTGGTTTAATTGAACTCACTAAACATACACACAAAAAAATAAATAAATAACATAAAATAAAATAAAACGAAAACACCACACCCAGTAGGCAGGGGTATTCTTCTCTCTCTCTCTTTCCCCATGGAACTTGGAAGCTTAATAAATTGAGATCAGTCAACAAAATGAAGAAACAAAGCGAAGATATAAAGTCCTCAAGATATTAGAAACAGCAAGTTGCCAAAATAGATCTGTTAGAAAAGAAACAGATTTACATAGGGAACTTGATACAGAAGCAATGCCTATTTTAAAAAAGTCGTCTTTAAAGAGAATGATATTAAAACCCAAAAAAAAAAAAAAAAGTGTTACGCCACGAGGGGTTAAACCTATTCAACAGATAGCTTTACAGAGATCACAGAAGACTCGAACTTATCAATCCCCACGACGTCATAAGCATACTCATTGGATGATGAAAATGGTTCCACCCTGCTGTGTCATTTCGCGTAGGAGACCACGGGCCAAACCAGATATGTAATTCCATAGTTACTCACTTCCTTTGCAGGTATTGCAGAAAGCCTGTGAGACAATAATTTTCAGGAGATAAACTAGTAAGCATGACTAATCAGCATGCATATCCATGGCAGAATCATTGGAATTGAAAGCAGCAGAATCCCTGTTTTGCTGCTGAAAAAAGCCAGGTTCAGTGTTCCTGTTTCCATTACCCAAGGAGAGGCTGCCGGGACAGGACCCTCCCTCGCCAATATGATAGTTCTGAAGACTTCGGCGAACAGGGCTAGACAAAGCATTTGAAAACACAGAATTCTTCTGTTGATTATCACTATTCTCAGACCGAAGTCCCTGAGCAATAACTGTTTGGCCGGAAGAACCTGAAGCGACTGGGAAGCCTAAACTATTGACTTGCATTAATGGTTGAGCCTGTTGATGTTGAAGTGGTGCCCTTGGAGACATTGATGGCTCCTCTCCACAATAATCCAACTCATTCTGCAAGCAATGGAGTAGATTTCATAAAACCTATAATTTTGAATCAATAAGCCATCCCAAGATTCTCAACAATGTCATCACTTTTCACAAAATACAGCAAATGTAACTACAACTTCAAGATATCAAAATTGCCAAAAGAAAACAGAAGCCACAAGCCATATTCACCATTTTGATCTAGGAAACCGTCAATCCAAAAAACTTCAAACATGGTAAAAGAAGAGGTCAGATGTTAACAAACATATATTTGTTACTTGAAGGAAATAATCTCATTGATGTCAACCTTATGTTTAACCACAACACTAACCGCTATAATCACCAAAGAGAAAAAAAAGATAACTCTAACATCAACACCCCAAAAAAGACTGAGAAAACACGGCTAATAAAGGAAAAGTTCACAGACAAAGCAGCTGACAAAAGGTTACTACTAACGGTAAACCTCTCTACACAGGGAATCTAACTATTTAACAAGCTAATAAAGCATGCTAAGCCAGTGAGACAATTCTCTCTTTATCCTTCTAAAGTGAGAAAATCACTACAGAACTACTCATAGGTAGGCCTCAAGCCTAATTTTTAAAGCATTTTATTAGGCTTGGTTAAGATCACTATAAAATTTGATTAAACTCAATGGCTAACCCTATCAATGGTCAAATCATTAGTGCACTATCGCTTTGAATGAGAAGAAATGTGGACTAAAACAGGGTTTAGTTAGTCTACTTCCCTTTCATATTTGTAAAATTTCTTTCCACGGCTCCCACTACTACAGTCCAACTCCCATGCCTGCTTTCACACTGCTACACTCGGAGGCACCCGTGCCCCATTAGTAGAAGGACGCATAACTATTTACTATTCAGTGTTCCACTATCACTCTTAATTATCTAGTATTCTCTTAATAACTTAGTAAGGTTACAAAGTATCACATGCTACTGCTCTATAGATGCACTGAGCCAATATCAACATTGTTATGCACTGAATTAGCAAAAGAGAGAACAATTAGGCCAACCTGAATGTAGTTAAGTATATCAACCGTTGCAACTCTTGATCCACCCTCTTGCTGTCTCCAGATCCATTGATAAAGTTTCTCCTGAAATGACATATAGGGTAAGTTCATTGTCCAAGCTAGTTGCAGCCATAGACAACTGAGTTCCATAAATGTGAAGTCAGACGGAACATGGAAATACCATAAGCTGTTAAAATTTTTCAAGTTATCAGAACTAGAAATCAAACTATGCACGGCTTACTGAGTGCACTTTTTGTATATAATTGGAAAAAGGCATAATTTCAGAAGAGGTTACGAAATATGGGTTTGTAATCAGCCTCCAAAAGCCGGCAACAGATGCCTTCAGTGAGCAAAATGGCACTGGATTGAAGCATGGTGGACTGATACGAAACAGCATAGTATAAATCTAACGAAATCATGCCAAGACATAACAATCCATAGTTACAAAATAGAGCGAATGGTAAGGACTGAGAATGAACTGAACAATTAGAAAATAAAACAATGAACAATAAACGGAGAAGTCAGAAAATCGATGAAACCTATAGACAACTAAAATTGAAAACGCTCTATTGGGTTCAAAAGATTGTAAAACTAAAGAGAAAAGCATTAGCGAAACCTACACGGATTCAAAAATTCATTTAAAAAAAAAAGGGCATAGCACGACAAGCAAAGTTTTATAGAGATATAATGTCTTCGCACCGAAGATGGAATTATCAATGAAAATCGTAACAAAAAGCCCTATCATAATCAACCATGAGAAACGGGAAAAAGGAGGGGGGGGGGTTAAAAGACGGGTTGGAGCAAAAGCCCGCTCGGAACAAAACTAATCTTTCCCAGTAAAAAGGAAGCATCAGTGAATGCATTGAAATCGCAATTCAAAAACACGTTTCATAAAACCTAAAACATGAAATCGACAAAAAAAAAAAACGCAAAATTTTATCGAGTCCGGAGGAGAAATCTTACGAGGCCGTGGCGTTCACCGGCTTGGAACGAAAGCTTTTGGTGGTTCATAGCCTGAGTGTAGAGCTGAGAGAGGGAATTGGCGGCACTACAAAACGACGCATACATGGTTCGATCCACCTCATCGAGGCTCGAAGCTATAGACTTTCTCTTCTTAGCCATGTAATCAAGGAGGACCCTTTTATCGGTGAGGCTCGAAGAGGGTGAGGGGCGGAGAATCGCGGCCCCAAACTGCGGTGGGGGTGATAGGAATCGCAGTGATGGAAGAAGAGAGGGTGTGGGTTGGAAGACAGAAAGGGAAAGGGCAAGGGAAGAAGAGGGTGGGGATGCTTTTGTTGTTTTGCGGAGCAAAGTTTCAGAGACGGGAAGGGACGGAGACACATGGTTCGTAACAAGGGCATGCCAGCCACGTGACAATCGCCTCCACCATGATTGAGATTGATAATCTAATACCCAACTCGCCTGCTGCAACTAGCAGTTTTTCTCGCCCCGGGTCAACTATAGTATATCCAAATCCAAATCCAATCCAAAATTTCTTATTATCAAAGAATTATTTGATTTTTAATTTGATCATAATATAAGATTTTAATTCACTTTATTTTTAATATTTATTTATTTATTTAAAATAACTCTTGTAGTACTTGCACATATTAAAAGTTTTATCAAATGACAATTCTGGCTAACACACATAATTAATAAGGATATTTTAAAAAAGATAATACTTATTTATAACAAATAACTAACTTAACTAATTTTTTTAATCTTTCTAAATTAATCAACTAGATCTTATATTAAAGACCGGATGTAGCATATACTACTTTTTTCTAATTATAAAACATCATTTATAATCTATAAACGAGGTTTTATAATTAAGACCAGAGATAATGTCGCTTTTATTCATTACCCTTCATATAAAAAATAGTTGAGGATTTAATTCTAAATATAAAAATATAATATATTTTATCTCGTAGATTTATAATGCATTATTTAAAATATTTCTACTGATTACACGTATTAATAGGGTTTGCATCCAAGGAAAGTCATTATTAAAAGGATATAAAATCAGTTCATATTTACTATAAATAACTAATTTAACTAATTTTTTTAATTCATCTAAATTAATTAAGTGGCTTTTATATTAACAATCAGATGTGGCATTTATTATGTATATATGGTGCTGATTATTTTTGATGAAAATCTGGTTTGCTTTATATTTGTAGTTTATATAATGATATATTGATTTTTTTTAAATTGTTTATGTATTTATGGGGACATTATTTTTATATCACTCAATCCAATGTTACAGAAAACAAAGTGATAAATCTTTCATGAAATTTAAAACGGCATATTAATGGTAAGAATGAAATTAAATACATTAACTTTATTTCGCATTGAAGGGTGTGGTTGATCCTTCATTTATTTTGCATTGACAAGTATTATCATTCCTTAATTTTCCATTGTAGTCTTGCTTTATAGTGTGTGGCTGCGTGCAACACTCCAATTTCATTTGGATAAATCTTGAGCCTATAAGAACAAGTTTAAATTCTTTAGAATATTTTTTAATAGGATCAGTGGTTGGGACTAATATATTTACAAAATATAAGAGAGATCTATACAATCAAGACAAATAAAAAGATAATGAAAGTATTTTACTCTAAATTAAATATTTTGTTTTTGTGATAAATGTGCCCCATGTCCCAAAAATATACCATGGCCATTTCTTTTATTTAACATATCCGCCACATATGCCTTGTTTTCTTTTAAGAAAATACTTATTATATATGATCATTATCCTATTTTTAAAATATTATAATTTAATTATAAATTTCACATGAAGAAATAAAACACATGACTATACAAAATTAGAAAAATTAACATGATAAATATAAAATAATTGATCCTATTTTTAATCGTACGGAACCACTGGCTGATTTGCTATTGATATAACGCATTAGCCCCAACCAAAGCGTGTTTAAATAGCTGGCAATTATACGGTCTTGATTGAAAATGTCAGAAACACATAAAAGGCAACTTGCTCCACGATATAAATCATAACAAGTGATTTAACAAATTTAAAGAATCTAATTAAAAACTTGTGTAGATATTGTTATCTTTCATTCTTAATATAAGAATTTGTTTAACTTTTATTTTAGTCTTAAATATAAAATCTCAATCTATTTTGTTTCTTATATTTTTTTTCTTAAAACAGTCCTCATAATAATAGTAGTTCTAACTAATACATTTAATTAGTAAGAATATTTTAGAAAAATATATTCATAATATCTATTTATTATAAATAATTAATTTTTTTAATCTATTTAAATTAATTAAAATCACCACATTGTTAATTTTCCATAAATACAGATATGAATAACAAAATCAATTGAAATTATTTTTATTTTTATTTTTTTTGGCTGCGTTGCGCGAACACCAATAAAACTGCTGAAAAACGCGAACTTGATTGTGTTGCGCGTGGCTCGTGCCATCACTGAAAACTCGAGCTTTCACTCAAGACTCCAAACAAAAGCTTCTCGTTTTCCATTCCTACCGCTTCCCAACGGCCGCGACACCCCTGGAGACCACGCCGGCGTCTTTTTCACTCAGGAATTCCGTTAACGGCAACCATCTATTCCTCTCATCATATGCATAAGGTCGGTAACTCATGACTTTCTTAATTGAATCTCGTCCACCCCTTTTGTTTGCAAAAAAAATCTTGGTAATTACGAGCAGAACAGCACGCGGATCTCGTCACTTCCACTACTTCTCGATGTTATCCTTCTGGATCTGAGAACCTGTCTTGGATCTGTCATGATGGATGTGAAAACGAGAGTGGGATTAGTGTTTTGTTTTCATTGAGCTTGGAGCTGTTTTGCTTCTTGAAATCCTTATGGGATCAGCTTTGAACTGTTAAGGCTTAAGGTATCTTGGAGACTTTGAGTTTAATGAATTTGGAATGGTTTCGGCTGCTATAACCGTTCCAGTACATGGCTGCAACCAAACGGGATCGTTTGGTAAATCCAAAATCTTTCTTTCTCAATGAATCCAAACTGTAATTGGAATTACCATTTCTTTCAATCGTGCGTGCTACCCTCGTATGCAGTTCGTTATGCAGTGTACAAAAGAAAACGGTGACTGGGGGGGGATGTTTGCCGTAAAATAGCATAGAGCTGCGGTTATATGCCCGAGTATTTTGGTCTGCGACATATTTTGTTCATTGTATTTTATTCCAGATTTTTGAGTCGAATTCAATGTACCATTAGTTTTAACAATTAATGAGAAATCAGTTATGCTCGTAAGGCATTCACCATATTACTTACTAGATCTATTGGTTCCTTGCTAAAATGATTATTTGATATTTAATTAATGGTTTCAGAAGTATGATGGTGGCCTGGATTGAAGGCCAATTCAAGCCATGCTTTGCGGGCTAATTTTTAAAGAAGTTGTAGTATGATTTTGGAGATGATCAATCCTTACATCTCTCTGTTCTTTTATAATTTTAAGTTGGTCAATTCATGACTATTGTTGTTTATGGTGGTAAATATAGTTGAGGATATTTGAATTGCAGCTGTAGTTGTGTTGTGTTGGCTGGTGGTTGCAGGAAAATGTGGTTGATACAATGTGCTGTTGGAAAATAAGATGAATTCAGATAATAATTTTTTGATAGAGGCTGTTGATAGTGATTATTTAATCTGTGTTTCAAAGTGATTTGATTGCCCCATTCTCCATATATTCAGATCCAGATTTATCTTTAATATGCATATTTCAGGACCTTCTTCCACTTTTTCAGGTTGCATTCCACTAAGTGGCCCAGTCCACAAGTCTGGAACATCATAGGAATGTGGATTGAATGTCATGGAGGCTGTTAGAATAGACTAGTAGCAAGTTGTGAGAAGCAAAAGGAACATGGCACCGCCCACTAAGGCTGATAAGAAGGCAGCAGTCGATGCAGCTGCATGGATGTTCAATGTTGTCACTTCCGTTGGAATTATCATAGTAAACAAAGCCCTAATGGCCACTTACGGCTTCAGTTTTGGTATATTTCTTTTTTTTTTTTTTATGGCATTCCATTTATTGATCCATTATTCCTGTTTCTCAGTGGACGCTACGGCATACCTATATATTAAATATTTTCTTTTAATTGCCTATGCCACCTGCAGCTACAACATTAACAGGGCTGCACTTTGTTACTACAACTTCGATGACGACCATCCTAAGATGTCTGGGATATGTCCAAGCCTCTCATTTACCACTTCCTGATCTTCTGAAATTCGTACTTTTTGCTAACTTCTCTATTGTTGGAATGAACGTCAGTCTTATGTGGAACTCAGTTGGATTCTATCAAGTGAGTTAGGCTAAGTTTTAGCTAGTGGTCCATTCATGTGTGGCAGTTATTTATAATTTTTTAACCATTGGCAGATTGCAAAGTTGAGCATGATTCCAGTATCCTGCCTGTTGGAAGTTGTCTTTGACAAGATTCGCTACTCAAGAGATACAAAACTAAGCATATGTCTTGTTCTTTTGGGTGTTGGTGTTTGCACTGTTACTGATGTGAGCGTTAATGCCAAAGGATTCATCGCTGCCTTTATAGCAGTATGGAGCACTGCTTTACAACAATATGTAAGCAGAATATTTATTTATTTATTTTACTCAACAAGGACATTACATGACTTAGCTTGTATCTGTTGAAACCTACTCGCTGGAATCAACACATAAACAGTTCATGCACCGATTCACTGGCCTGAAAAAATAACTGAAAAATTTATACAGCATGATCTATATCTGAATATAGTGGCGATTTTAACCTAGAAAGAAGATTCATGAGCCAATTTCTGGTTCATGTCATATTCTGCTTTTATGTCATGACAAATGTACACTTCAGTAGCATAGAAGATCATGATGTTTCAGATTGGTGTTAACTGACTTTAATTGGTCTGAGAAGTCTTATTCTTAACTCGTATATTTACTGTTCAATACTCATGGAATCACGATATATATGTGCAGTATGTTCATTATCTTCAACGGAAGTATTCGTTGAGTTCTTTCAACCTGTTGGGACATACAGCGCCAGCACAAGCTGCATCACTATTGTTAGTAGGCCCTTTTCTAGATTATTTTTTGACGAACAAAAGAGTTGACAGATACGATTATACTATAGGCTCTGTGGTAAGTTCTGGCACAAAAGCTATACCGCATATTTAATTACGTTCAACATTTATGTGATGATGAGAGGACGGATATGCAAATTTCATTTGTGCGTGTGTCTAGTTTATTCCTGCATGTTTAGTAGTCTTTTCCCTCCAAATCAACATGGTTATAGCTTTCCAACATTTGCTCTGTG